TAAATAAACCCATGTTTAACATGCCACATACAATTTGCATATTTATAACCTTCATCTTCTTGCCTTAATTAAATAAATAGGTTTACAAAATTATACAATGAATCTATATACAAAATGTAGTGCGATCTACATGTATCCAGAAGGAAGAAAGTTAAACGATTGACGATATACATTACATTCGTTTAACTATTTCTTAATGTAATTACTTCTAAATACAACCAGCATTGTAAAGAAAAACTCAATTTTGTGATTTTTTTCAACATATACTCACTAGTAATGAGTATTTCATTAGGCATGATTCATTGAGTTGTATTATTTTATTGAAAAGTGACTTTCTTTTATTTGTATTCTCGACTTTTATTTGGAAGTAAGCTAAAATGCCCTTCATCACATTCACAACCCTATCATATGAAGTACCAATATTGTTAATCTTATGCACCAACTCAATGATTGGTCCATCCTTGCTCCTAGAATGCTTTCTGTTTGATAACATCGTCCTAATGTTGCTCGGAGCAGTAGAACCAATATCCTCATCCTCATCTTCTTTCTTTGTATTTTCTTCAGCATCGATATCAAACTCAGGAGAGAAGTAGGCATCTTTATTAGTATTCAATAATTCAACCATATCGGTTGTTGTTTCGGCCAGTTGACCAATTGTTCTATTAGATTCAAATATCACTTTAAAATTATCAAAAAATGAGAAAAGTTTGTTCTTTAACCTTTTAGCATATGGGTGTGATTGGCAAAAGTTCAAGCAAATACGAATCAAATAAAACTCATAGAAAAAATGTAAAAAAGTTATACAATCCATAATATAATCTTAAAAAACTTACTCGAACCTACTTATCAAAAACTTTTTTCTCAGCTGTGATACATTTTTCTTGATTATTTCACCCAAATCCATTAGAATTTTTCATATCATAAATTATGTGATATTGTCTCTTAAACAACTTAACTTTAGATTTGAAGTGGGGGTGGCTTTAAGTTGTGAAGTAGGAATAAGTTACACCAACATTCATTCAATATATCCTAGATATCTGATGCAAAATGTCCCATTATTTGCTCTATCTATGATTTATAACCAAAGAATGTGGGCATTAAACTAGATATGAATCCTTTTCTCAAGTCCATGAATGGTTACCAAAGCCCAAATTGTTTAATATTTTTCTGGATAGGTCTTAAATGGATTGCGATGGTTGGTACATGATAAAGACATTTTCAATTCTTAATCACATAGTTAGACATTATGAAACAATATCAATGTAGTAAATAAAAAACAATCAAGGGAATGGAATAAATGAATACACATGAAAAGAAAGTAAAAAAGTATGTATTCTAAATTGTAATATACATTGAACACTTAAGAATGCTTTAAATATAATATAAACATATATTCAACATTGGTATAAAGCAAATTTTACACTTAACCATAGGGTACATACAATAAAAACCATTGGGTAAACAAATAATAAAATACAAAACATATCTATAATGTTATTTTCTCCAAGATTGCAACTAATGAGTGAACATATTATTAGATAAATTATCTTTAAACTGAGTCCAACAATCAGATGACTCAACATACATAATCAAATCTTGATGTTTAGATTTATTTGGTTGGGTAATAATTTCTTTAGCAACATCCTCTTCAATAGGGTTAAAAACAATCTCAGGCTTAATAAAATTTTGAGGAAGGCAACAAGTAGAAATGATTTCACATTGTGTCTTAATTGAATAAAATGACTTCTCCTTTAAAATTGTTCATATAGCTTTCAATATATCAAAATATCTTTCGATACAATTTTTTACGTGAGAGCTTCATATTGAAGTAATCTTGTGAGGTCGTCGATTTTCAATCACCAAGATGGTATCGTTGACTTCTATAAGGTGTCAAGAATCCTTCTCTATTTATGTATTTGGCATCACACAAGTAGTAATTATCTATTAGAATGCTCAACAACATTAATAATATAGAAATAAAGTGTTTCATTATTAACATTACACGAACATAATCAAAAAATACATTGTGAGATTCTCAACCCATTCTTACGTGTAATGACATCCCTTAATACTCTGTCATCTATTGCAGAACCTTCCATCCCAGTAGAGCATATATGAATTGCATATCTGGGGTGCAAATACCAAGGACATTGGTAGTAATTTCATTTTTCCTAGTCTTATATCTAGGTCTGTCAACTGTGTCTATATTAACTTTGATATATGTCCCACCTAAGGCACTTAAACAACTTTTGAACTATTTTTATCTATTATTGTTAAATTTTTTAGTATGGGTTTAGGTTTTTTAAACAATAGCGTATGCAATCTTAAAACATAATTCAACACAAAATAGAATTGACTACTAATCATCTTTTTTAGATCTAGTCACTTAACGTTTTATAACTCTATTTTTAATATGATTGGCAATGATGTAGAGGAAGTTAATTACTAGTTCTTCTATTGACATATATCTAGATGACTGTAACTCTTTTTCTGTTTTAAGTAAATGATATAATTTTACAAAAACTTTCTTGTCTATTCTAGTATTATCTAGACATAGTATATTACTCTTAAAGACCGTTGTATTTAAGTTTAATTCTCTAATAAGTAGCCTATCATAAGATGTTCCACCATAAGATAGTCTATGTAATTTTTCTTATGTTCATATTTAATAAAAGTTATAGCAACAAAACATAACACATGAAACAAAGTCTCCATCTAGTTTAAATGCATTAAAAGCAATGTAACCAATTGCATCTTCCTTCTTAGTGATAAACCAAATATAACTGTTTAGAAAATAAAATATTGTTAAAGTTGAAAACATAATGGAAATAAATCTTGGCATATGGTAGATGTAATCTATCAAACATCATTAAATAAAATATAAATCACAAACAAAATATTGGAAGATTGGAAGGAGCTAAAATAAATTAACCATAAAACAAGGCATTTTATATTAGAAACATAAATTCAGATATAAATGACATCTAACAAAATGAAAATTAAAACATTAGAAGGTATCATCAATTATACACTATCAATAAGAATGTATACACATCGTTTTGTGTATTTCAAGTCAAATTTGAAAATAAGGTAAATTTCTCCTTTGAAATCCTAAAATACTACAGGAAGAGGTGGGTTTTTTAGTCCAAAACTTTGGGTACTATTAAAAATATGTAATTTTCTCCTATAATCAGATTATTCTGAACCAAACGGGGGAATTAAATACCCACCATCAAAATTTAGGGAAAAATTTGTGGATTCCCCAGAACAAAACACACTTTTATAATTTTATTCTTGTAAAAAACTAATATTTATTTCAATTCATTTTTTTTAACACTCATTTATTAATTTTTTCTTTCATATTTTGTTTAGGAGTTTTGATTAATTATCATAGAGTGAAGTTATGTTTATAGATATTTATTAAAATTCTTTTGTTTTTCAAAAAATATAATAGAAATCTTTTTCTTAAAATTGTTTTTTTTTTATTCTTGTGATTTTTTTTCTTGATTTTAACTTATTATTAAGAAATATTATATTTTTACTTTTCACATTTTTTTATATATTTCAAAAGTAATTTGTTTTATTATAAATTAGTTCTTGAAATCATACAATTTGGTTCGGATAAAATAAGTACTATTATTTCTACAGAAAAAATACTTATTTCATTACTTGCTTCGATCTGTGAATAATTGTTTTGAGTCGATTAATTAGGTATCAATTTTTTGCTTCTATTTTAAGATAAATGACTTAAGAAATGTTCAACTTAATTGTATAATGTATAATGTATAATCACCATTAGTTTAAATTTATAGTTATATTCTTTTAATATTTTAAAAAATACTATAAGATAATTCATAAATAAGATAGTTTTGTTTACCACTTTATACATATATTTTTTCATTTTTATCATGTAAACACATTTTTATACTTTACATATTTACTCAACCACTTTAGATAATTCATAATTCATGAATCAAATACTTAAGAATATTTTTTCATTTTATATCATGAATCAAACAAATTATACATATATATATTTATTTATTTTTAAAATAAAAACTTTAGGATCAAATTATGATAAATTATTATTTTACAAATAAAAAATTAAAAAATATATTCTTTTATTAAGATAATATAAAAATTAAAAAAAATTAAAATTATAAAAAGATATAATAAAAAATCTGTGCATCACACAAGTTAAAAAAGCTAGTTAATCTAAATATACAAATAAAACAAATACAACAAAGTGAGTTAAATATAAAAACCAAATATAATAATAATAAATATAAAATTAATATGCCATGTTGTCGTTTAAAAGAAACTACTCTTTTTAAAAAAAAAAAATCATATTTTTAATAACGCAATTTCCTTCTACTTTTTAAACACAAATTAGTTCGAAGTGGGCGTTTTGATTCAAATCAAATACGTGAATGTGGAAAGTACCCAAACACAATTTGAATCGGCATCTAATGCAAATCTTTCCTAATATATTGTTAATTTGGTACAAATTAGTAATACGGAAAATCTTCAATTTTTGGCTAGGAAATGGACAGATATCGAAATTAAAACGAAGTCATAAATTAGTTTGAGTTTCAAATAAAAACTGAATTAGATTCTAATAAATAGCTAAAATTCTTGATGAAACTTTTTGGTTTTTGAAACTTATGATGCTTTGGGAGGTGGGAGATAGTGATTATAACTATTAAGTAAACTAACATGGAATGTGATCAGAAGGGAGAGAAACACGCAGATGAACATAGATTTAACTAAAAAGATAGTAATGAAAATTTTTTTTTATATTTTATACATATTTAATACGAAAACAAATGAACCCACACAAATTCATGAATTCGATAAGTTTTATATTTTATATATTTATATTTAGCACCAAACAAACCCCACAGAGATATGTGAATTATCGAATCCAAATACAACTTAATTTGGTGATGGTAAAAATTAAACTTCGGTGATGTATAAATATAGTGACCTTTATCAAGATTTATTCAACCCCTTCTTGTTATTTTATACCAGGCTGCATGATGAAATCCATCATCACACACAACATAATTTAAGCGAAACAAACAAAATAGAATCCTATATCAATAGCTCAGGACAATAGGTCTCGGCTGAATCCTCTACTAAAATTGAACTGGCATAATATAACAATCATAAAAGACCATGAAAGCAAATATAAATAACCACCTTTGAAAGATCAATGGATGCTGCATATCTCTACATCACTTCACTATGCAGATCTTAATAACAGAAGCAGCACCAATACGGTGAAGTGCAACAACGGCATCACCAGGCTTGCACAAACCCTTCTCTGTGGCTGACTTCAAAGCTGCTTCCAAGATAACCTCTGTTGATTCTGCATCAGTTGCCTTAGCTGAGCCTTCTGCCAGTAGAGGAACCAAGCCCCTATATATCAGGCTATGCCTTGCCGGCCTTTCGTCACTGCAGGTCCAATCAAATGAATCAGTTGTCAAGACTGGGACAACCACGGATAGGATAGGAACTGCTGGTCTGTACTTGGCAACCAACTTGGCTGTTGTTCCACCACGAGTTAAAACAACAATGAGTTTAGCTTTAGCCTTGTTAGCTGTTTGTACGGCTGAGGATGCAAGACTTTCCAATGGGCTCATTGGAAGTGGAGTTGAACGAACCATTTCTTTAAAGATTGCTCCATAGTCAAGGGAGGATTCTGCCTCGATACAAATTCGAGCCATAATCTTCACAGCAAGCTCTGGATAGGACCCAGCTGCACTCTCACCACTGAGCATGACACAATCAGTACCATCAAGTACAGCATTAGCGACATCAGTAGCTTCAGCACGGGTTGGCCTTGGAGACTTAATCATAGATTCAAGCATTTGAGTGGCAGTAACAACAGGCTTGCCTGCAAGATTACACTTGTATATCATCATCTTTTGTGCTAGGAAGATCTTCTCCACTGGAATCTCCATTCCAAGATCACCGCGGGCGACCATAAATGCATCAGTCTCACGCAAGATCTCATCAAAGTTGATGACACCCTCCTGGTTCTCAACCTAAAAGAATCATAACAGCCATATCACTCGTTAGTCCAATAACAGAAATAAGAAGACTCATTATAGCCATGAAACACTAGAGTATTCAGAAGGAAAGAAAGAAGGAACAAACAATCTCAAAGCTGGCAATGTGTCCCATAAATATTTAAGCAGAGCCCAAATTTTTTTGGCACATGGGACGCACACCGAAATCCAGGCAAGAAAACCATATGCAGACAGACAAAGTTCATCAAACAGGTGGATTTTGCAAATTGATACACAATATTAAATCTGAAAAACAAACTACTAAGGATAAATTTAAGTTACTTCTCATATAAAAATATATCACCTTGGGTCTTACTCTCTTAAGATGAAAATCATATGCTACTGGGCATGCAGAACAACGACTAAGTAGGCGCATAGTCTGTGTGACCAAGCAGTAATTGTTCTCTGCAAGAACAGAAGGAACTGCTCTGCTTGAATAAGTGTATCAGCAACAGCAGCAACCACAAACCTCAATATTAACAATTAAATTGCATAAAGAAACCACATAGCATCTCATTATTAATCATAATTTAAAGGTGAAACAGATCAACATACCTTCGACATCAATTGAATCTGCTTTGCATGGGGACCAAGGACCTTACGGACATTAACAAGGTCAGAACCTTTGCGTACAAATGAAAGAGCAATCATATCAATACTGTTGGGGACTCCCCATCCCAAGATGTCTTCTTTATCCTTCTCAGTGAGTGTGGGAAGATCCACCACAATACCAGGAAGGTTGACATTTTTCCTCTCACCAATCATTGCAGTGTTTTCACAGCGGCACCTCACAGTCCCAGCAGCAGGATCACAGGATAACACTGTTAGTGTGATTGTACCATCTGCACACAAAATGGTATTTCCAGGCTTCAGATCAACAGCCAACTTTTTGTAGCTCATGGAGATCATCTTCTCATCCCCCTTGATATCATAGTCAGTAGTCACAGTAATTTCCTGGCCTTCCTTCAGTTGAACAGGTTTCCCATCCTTTAGGAATCCAGTTCGAATCTCAGGTCCCTGCAACAGCAAAGCACAGTCAAAAACTTTCTGAAGAAGCAAACATGTTAGAAGAGCTGAGAACAAAGACGTAAAAAAAAAATGCAGAAATTCCTAGGGCCCATTATCTTTCACTTTAAGTTCATTAGATATTACAAAAAAAAAAAAAAAAATTCCACATTGGCAGGTTGGGTTAAATGTACAGAAACACAGCTTCAATATTTATAAACAAATTCAGGCAGAAAATGCTTGAGTTATAAAATAAGGAGATAATAGTAGGAAAATGGACCTTGGTGTCAAGCATGACGGCGCAGAGGATGCCGGTATTTTGCATAGCGGCCCTGAGATTGTTCAAGGTCTCTTGATGGTACTCGTGGCTGCCATGAGAGAAATTGAAACGAGCAACAGTCATCCCAGCCCTCAGCAGCTTCTCTATCATGGTTACAGAACGTGAAGCGGGCCCGAGAGTACAAACGATCTTGGTTTTTGGGACACGACCATCGTTCGGAAGCTCCTTCAAGATTCCATCAATGTCTATACTTGCCATTTCCTTTGCTTTGCCTGCCCTTCTCACTTACACAAAATATCTGCACCCATTATCAAAAATCAAAATCATCAAACAAGTTAAACTGAAATTTAAATGATGGGGCAAAAAGGGAATTCATTTTCCATTGATTAGATCTACATATGAAGAAAAGAAATACGACCGTAAGAAGAACAGGCGGTTAAGTTTGTGTTTTGGTTATCAGATCAGGAAACATAGATCGTGCTATGACATAATAAAAACTAATACTAAAACAAACAGAAATAAAAGTAAAATTGCATGTTGGACAAAGGCTCAAAGATAGATATCAACAATAAACAAATAAATAAAAAGTAAAAGGAAAGGAAGACCAAACAATCCAAGGCTCGTGGGTTGAACCAACCAAGTTAAGAGCGTGTGATAATGAACTGATAAAATCTGAGTTTGGGAGAGCAGAAAAGAACAGGACAGGGGGGGTAGTGGTGGTGGTGCTGGCTTTTTGTAACAGAGCCGACTGGACAGGATCGGAGGAGGAGTTTTTTTTTTTTTTTTTTAAACAAAAGAAGTCTGCAATTTCAGACGCGCAGTGATTGATGGAAGACTTTTATTGCGTTTCCTTGCTTTTACCAGATTCTTAAAACACTGCAAATTTTGCGCTTTCTATGGTCTATTATACAATAAGCGAAGCCAACAAATTATTAATCCAAGGTTTTAAACAATTTCTATTTTAGTGCTAATTAAGCGATAATATGTTAGTATATGAATTTATATTATAATATTTTGTGTTAAATATACGTAAAATATAAATTTTATTATTAATAATTTATATTTATATTTAAATATAAAATATATTTTAATTTTATTAAATTTATATATAATTTATATTAAAAATTTAAATTATATTATTTTTATGTTTTTTAATCATATCATAATATTATATTTAATATTATCAAGTATAACATTAAATATGAACTTTAGACTAACTCTTTTTAAAATTATTTTAAATATGAATGACTTTTTAAAATTATTTTTAGAAAATTATACTTAATAAATTTAAAATTTAATGTTTATAATTTTGTTAAATTATGATTTTTTTATACAAAATTGAACTTTTATTGAACAGCTTTAAGAAAATTATTATCAGAAAAAATTTAAACATATAATATTGTTAACATAATATTTTGTAATATTATATAATTATGTAATCAAATATAATATTAAAAATTATGATATGTATTACATTAATAATTTTCTTTTTAAATAGATAATAGTTAAAAATTAAACTATATTACTATAAATAAAAAGTTTTTAAAAAAATAATACTAAATATTTCTTCAATTATATTAAATAAGGAGTAACAAAAATTGAAGCTTGTGAGTAAGGAAGGGTAGACTGCGAAATGTCGTCGAAGCTTGTTTTCCTTTATGGTGTGTCCTTGTGTGCGTGTCCCCACCATTTTCGACTTTGTATGGAGAAACCCATTTCCTCCACTGCTTTATTCCCCATCACGTTATCCTAAACCCAACTTCCTAACGCCATGTATTAATTAGACAAACTCCATGTACATGCTTCTTACATTCAACTTTTTTATTTATAATTTTTGAAGAAAAATTTCGTCCACTTATAATTTGAGGTTTGCAACCGTCATATAAAAGGTTAATGGTGTTAAATATTAAGTAAAATTACAAAATGACTCTTTTATAATTAAAAGAATTGTAAAGGAAATTGAGAAAAGTCTTTCGAGAGTTTGCTCGTGGGAGTGAGTGAGTCTTGGTTTTTTTCAAGCAAGTTTTCTAAAGGTTGTATTAGAAGCAATCTGACACGGTAGTTTGGAGGAGAATGAGTACTGAAAAGGATTTGGATGAACTGTGGCACAACCTTCGACTAACGGAAGAGGAGAAGGAGGGAGTAGAAACACCATTAGATGATACAGGGAATAATGGCAGAGCGACGAAGGCATGGTTAGTCGGTAAGGTGTTGACTCAACGTCCTTTCAACAAAGAAGCTTTGAAAACAACATTGAAACTCCATGTACTTTCTAATAACGTTATCCTAAACCTAACTTCCAAACGCCATGTATTAATAAGATAAATTCCACGTACATTCTTCTTACATTCAACTTTTTTATGTAGAAAAATTTTGTCCACCTATAATTTGAGGTTTACAACCGTCATAAAGAAGGTTAATGGTGTTAAATATTAAGTAAAATTACAAAATGACTTCTTTATAATTAAAAGAATTGTGAAGGAAATTAAGAAAAGTCTTCCGACAGTTTGCTCTATAGGAGTGAGTGAGTCTTGGTTTTTTTCAAGCAAGGATTCTAAAAGTTGTATTAGAAGCAATCTTTGAGGATCAGTTCTAGTTTAGTTAAGCAATCTGACATAGTAGTTTGGAGGAGAATGAGTGCTGAAGAGGATTTGGATGAACTGTGGCAAAACCTTCCGCTAATGGAAGAGGAGAAGGAGGGAGTAGAAGCACCATTAGATGATACAGGGAATAATGGCAGAGCGACGGAGGCATGGTTAGTCGATAAGGTGTTGACTCAATGTCTTTTCAACAAAAAAGCTTTGAAAACGACATTGAAACTTATATGGAGGATTACGAAGGATGTTGTTATTATGAATCTAGAAGAAAATCTTTTTCTTTTTAAATTCTCCTCCGGGGCGGATAAGAGGAGGGTAATGGAAGGAGCCCCGTGGAGTTTCGATAAGCAATTAATATTTTTTTTCAATTACAATGGTGATTGAAGACCAGAACATTATCTTTCAAAAGCATCATTCTGGATTAGGGTATACGATTTGCCCTTAGGGATGAGGAATCTGTTAGGAAAATGGGATTTAGCTCCATATAATTGGTTTTAGACCAATCAAAAGTCAAGGGCCTTGGTTTCTTTTTACACAGAGCCCTAGTTATTTAATAAAAAAAAGTGGAGTTGTTTTAAGGTGGTGTCGAAAACCAAGAAGAAAAAAAAATCAAGAAAAATAAAGAGAAAAAAATAAGGGAGAGTTGGTTGAACGAAAGTCGATCCGTGGTCTGATTGAGCTAAAACTTTGTCAGCAAGTTTATAATTCAAAGTTCTACATTCTGAATGGTAAAGATCGGGTTTGAAGTTCTCTAGAAACAAATCCAGAGTGTATTTGTTGAGTTGCCTATTTGGTGAGATTTCTCAATTGTATCTTTAGTTGTTGATTAGCTCTAGTTTTAGCTAGAGAAGAACTTTGTATATCCATTATTTGATAGTGGAGATTTTTCTGGGGTTCGTGATTTTTTTCTCTACACTGAAGGGTTTTTCACGTAAATCTTGGTGTGTTTTATTTTTTCCTACGTTTTGCATTATTGATTGTTGTCTATTGCTACGAGTTTATTGCAATATATTGTTTCTGCATTATTGTGTTTATTACTTTAGGCCCAATAAGTGGTATCAGAGTAAGGATTATTTTAAGACATCGATACAGAAGTAACCCAAGATAGAAGTAAATTCTATTTGAGATTATGGAGGGTAATACATATTCTACGATAAAATTGACAGCATAAAATTATTCAATTTGAAAGCCTATAATGAAAGATCATTTATACTGTAAAGATTTGTATGAGTCGATATTGAATGATTTGACTAAACTAACAGATATGAAAGATGAAAGCTAGAGGAAGTTAGGTAGAAAGACACTGGCTACAATAAAAAAATGGATTGATATCAGCGTGTTTCATCATGTAACGTAGGAGGTATATGCCCACATTGTTTGAAAAAAATTAGCAACATTGTATGAGAGAAAAATATGTATGAATAAAGTTATGCTTGTTAAAAAGCTTGTAATTTTACAGTACAAAAATGGACGATCGATTAAAGAGCACTTGAGTGATTTTTAAGATATATTCAATCGGATGACTACTATAGAGCTTACGATGGATGATGAAATGAATGCATTGTTTCTTTTAAGTTTATTACCAGACAGTTAAAATACTCTAGTTGTGTCTGTTTTTAATTTAGCTCCTAATTATAAGGTGACATTAGAGATGGTAAAAGACAATATGCTTAATGAAAAAATAATGTGAAAAGATGTAGACCTTGGGAATCAAGTTCTGGTTACAGAGAACATGGGTATAAACATCGACAGATGTCAAAACTCAAAAGGTTGTAGTAAGTCTAAACATAGATCTAAGTCCAGAGATAAAGTGAAGTGTTTTCATTGTGGTAAAACAGGTTATATAAAATGACACTATAAAATTTTAAAACAAGAGCAAAAATATGAGAAAGGTAAGAGTTCAAATGATGGCAATGTTGTAGCAGTGAATTTAAATAGTGATTTAGTTACTTTGATTTGTACACATGGTGATTGTAATCATGTTGGTGATCCCGGCATTGAGTGGTTGACACAGGAGCGACATATTATTATGTTTCTAAGAGAGAGTTATTTACAACTTACAAAGTATGAGACTTTGGTTGCCCCAATATGGGAAACAAGAATGTGTCACAGATTATTAGGATTAATGATATTATTGTACAAATTAGTACAGGCTGTATGTTGACTTTGAAGGATGTTAGACACATTCCAGATATGAGAATGAACTTGCTTGCTATTAATGTCCTTGATAAGAAAAGATATGAAAGTCGATAAAAGAATGGATGGTGAAAGTTTTCAAAGAATCTATGGTAGTTGCAAGGAGAAAACTATGTTGCACAATGTATAAGACATGGATGTAATTGAATGGCAACCAGGTAAATACCGTTGAAGATGATGTTTAAGCAAACTTGTGACATAAAAGACTGACACACATGAGTGAGAAATGGTTAAAAGTTTTGGCAATACAGTCTCTCATTCCCTTGACCAAAGGTATGTCTCTCGATTTATGTGATTGTTATTTGTTTGGTAAGCATTGTAGAGTTTCTTTTCATAAGAATTCTCAAAGAAAAGAAAATAGATTGAAATTAATTTATTCTAACGTATGTGATCCCATTAAAGTTGAGTTATTAGGAGGTAGCATGTATTTTGTTATTTTTATTGATGATGCTTCACGTAAGACTTGGGTATATATGTTGAAATATAAAAGTCAGGTACTGTAGTATTTTTAAAAATTTTATGCCATGGTGAAAAAATGACAAGGTTACCTTTGAAGTGTATTTAGACTGATAATGGTAGGGAATACACATCTAAAGACTTTAAAAAGTACTGTTCAAAGTATGAGATCAGGTATGAAATGACAAAACCTGAAACATCACAACATAATGGTATAGGTGAAATGATGAATCGTATCATTGTGAAAAAAGTTAGATGCATGTTGAGGATGGTAAAATTACCAAAGCCATTCTGGGGTGAAACAGTCAACACAGCTTGCTATTTACTTAACAGATGGTCATCGGTTCCTTTGAGCTTTGACATTCTAGAAAAAGTGTGGATAAAAAAATATACTTCATACTCTCACTTAAAAGTTTTTAGGTATAAAACATTCATGCATGTGTCGAAAAAGTAGGGATCAAAGCTTAACAGTAAAGCCACACAATATGTGTTTGTAGGATATGGTGATGAAGAATTTGGCTACAAGATATGGGATCCAGTAAAGAGAAAAATAGTCAAAAATAGAGATATGGCCTTTCATGAAAAAAAATCCTAGCAAACTTTAAGAAAAATGTGAAGACTACACAGGTTACTATTGAGTATGATGTTTCAACATTGACAAGGGTTCCACAAGAAAGAGTCACAAATGGTAAA